TTGTTACCATTGAATGTGATCTACTTTCAAAAAGAATAAACAAATTCAGCCTAAGCATGACAGGAATATAGTCGTTAATTTTTATATGAACTTTACAACAATATTCATCAGTCATTATTATTTTCATTAAAAAATGTATAAACATGAAAGCAATTTTGGCTTATGTAGAAGTATATTGTATGCATTTTATAAATACTATATAAAACAAATTAAAAAAATCTTTTATCAATTTAATATTTGATTATACTAGTATTGTGTAATCCTTATTACCCTTTATATTATTTAAGAATACCATTTTAATGGATTTACGGACTCGACACTTAGTATTCGTTTTATTTTAATTTCAATTTTTCTTACACGATAGTCTCTTTCTGTTGCCTCTTATAAGAGTACTAATTTATCTTTGCAGCATTTACGCAGGACTGTATTTATTTTTATAGTTAGAAGAAAATAAACTTATTTTTATAATTAAATAGTTTTATCTAAATCCGCACATGGATTCCGTAAATGCTTCTATCCTATCTCATCTCATTATCCTTTTAGGTCAAATTTCTCAAGTGAAAACCTGTCATTCACACCTATGGCCTATCTGTTCAAACTGTTCAAGTGATGACCTGTTCGAGGAGACCGTACCTTGTAATACTATTCCATCGGACACGTCTATTCGTCATAACTCCTATACAACAAGAATGAATTCTGCAACTACCGCTCATTTTGGGACTGTATCCACATCTTATGCATCCAATCCACTAAATATAGGCGATACAATTTGTCGACGGTGCCTGACCATACAGCGGCCGCATTGTGCTGGTGAAGTTGGCGGTTTTGGATCTCGGTTTTCCTTGGAATTTGAGGTGCTATTATCCCTTGATTCGAAACCTGGAGCTCTTGCATCATCCAAATCCTCTTTATTCGATGATTCCCGCAAGGGCTTCTGTTCTAGTGAAGCAAGCAGGAAGTCGGAACAACAAATAGCTGTAAACGTAAGTGGACTTTATTGTTAGATTATCCTCAGTACGCTTATGTTTCGGGCCTGTGCTGCCTTTGTGCTTACGAAACGTTACATTCTATGCTTATTCTGAAGTTTGCCTCTCATGTATCTTTTCACTGTAAGTATTTTTTTCGAAATTATCTTTAATTCTTGAATAAGAGCTTATTTAACATTAGGACCTATAGTAGAACTTTCCCAAAAAAGATTTAAGTAGGCATCATGGATTCCCTGAATTCTTTAGTTTTGTTTCCCAAAAGGTGTTCTCACTCATGGTTGACTATAGTTTCGATCAGGGCCTCAAACGGAATTTGAAATTATATCGTGATCATCATAGCGTCACATAAACGCGGGCGCCAGTGGGTAACAAAGCGAGCAAGGCTTCTCATAAACCATACTTTAATACATGCATCTATAAGGTAAATATATATTCGCTATTTCGCCCGAGGACATTACGTATTTTTGCTGAGTATATTTTGAATCTGTCGGTAATCTTCGCAAATTAGTCTTGTCAGTTCGACTTAGTTATACACACCCTAGATGCGAAAAATAAAGTAACATAGTCGATTGTTATAGCAAATATACGTTTGCTTCATCGACAATCCCACCAAAGAATATAATATGGCAAAAGGCCTGGCCTTCCTTGAAATTCACATTTGCCCTGTGACTCAAGGGCACTCGTGGCAATGCGGCCGAGTGGTTAACGTGTCAACCTCACATTCTGCACTGTCATGGTTCGACTCCCGCTGTGGGTGTTGCTAAGACCCCGATGCAAGGTCGAAACTGCAGCTTAACATGGATGAGAACAACCTTCGAGAAAGCAAGGCTATGTGAAATTCAATGGAAACGTCAGCTTAAGAGTATTAGACAAAACTTGCCTTAGAAGTGGGTTGAACTCGTTGCAACTTAGTTTTGTTGTCAGGGCGACTTAGTAGAACGCACCTAATCAGATGTCGCCTGCCACAGTAATCCTCATAATTCCCAGCATTAGACAATCATTTCACTTTAGTCATTTCTTATTCATTTATTGCGGTCGCGTATTAGTATAATAATTTGATCCATTCTTCTTTTCATTCATCTTTTAGTTAAATATCCGAGACCCTGGCCTAATATTTTTCAAATTAGATCGGTACACCATTTGCTATTTTTACTCTATCTTATATATCTCGAGTACATTACTTTTACCTCTTATAGGGTTCTCACTGAAAATTTTACTCCTATTTGACATCATTATGATGATATCCCTCTATTTGCATTTTCCCATAGCTTTACATTTTTTATTTTCCACTTACTTAAGATAATTGATTAGTTAAAAACTTTTCTGCAAGTTAAAGTACATAGTAGAACGCATCTAGTCCGAAGTCGTTTGCCATGATTCCCAGCATCAGACAGTGGACTTAGTACATTCTCAAACGTTTCGCCGGCATTATCAGTTAGTTTTTCCATTCTCTGCACCAAGCTACGAACTCGTCAAAGAGTCAAGTGCAGCGAATCTCTCGACCAATCTTCTGCCGAAAACGC